TTATATCATGACTATATCAGACTTGTTAGAACAACCTTGTAACATTCTTGTTATATCATGACTGTATCAGACTTGTTAGAACAACCTTGTAACATTCTTGTTATATCATAACTGTATCAGACTTGTTAGAACAACCTTGTAACAAGTCTGATAATGCCATCAAGCTTGTTACAAGTTGTTAACAGCTTGTTTCAAACTTGTTACAACAACTGGGAACAAGCAGTGCGAACAAAACTTGTTGACAGCTTGTGAACAGATTTATTGCAAAAGATTTTCGTTTTAATTTCTGACAAAACATTAAAACAACTTGCCCGATCGGTCAACCAAGAAGCTATTTTTACTTGCCCGTAATGTCTTTTACTAGCCCCAGGGCTAAGTTACAACACTGTTAGACTAAATATCATGGGCAGAAGGACACCATGTGTGATACATACCCTCGTTTTTCCTGATCCAGTGGGTCCCACCATCATCAAACCATGACGTACTACAGTCGTTTCGTACAACTGAATGCATTTTGTAACAAAACCTTAAGAAACAAACACAATACAGTGTTAGTAAACTGTTCAAGTATGTGCGTTTAGAAACTCCCCCGGGACTTCGATTATTTATTTCTTTTCATTGACTCATGATTGTATTGGTTGCCGTCGTCGTCGTGTTGCCGTCTTACATGCTTAAGCTCGCTAGTTCCGTGCCCGAGTCAAACGTCCTAGTCATGTAAAAAAAGACGAAATTGAATAAAATTCACGGCCGAATAGGGTTAGGAGTAGGGTTAGGGTTATGGTTAAGTCATTGAACTACAAAGACCGATAAGCAGTGACTCGGACATTTCACTCGGGCTCGGATTTGACTCAGAATGGAATTTGATTCGGTTAACCGACAAACTCTCAAATGCTTTCATCAACAGTCTCATTTTTGTATTCCTGCGTTCTGTGGCAACCTTGTCATAAGCATGCGGATTTTCCTAACAGGAAAAAAGGATCCTTATAAGGTACGAGAACTTTTTTACAAGCGAAAAATTATATATATCCGTGCAACAGATGGTGGTCAACATGCAGTTATCAGAGGGAGAAAATTATGATAAGTGGAGACTCAAATAAATAGAATTAAAAATATTATTTAATTTGCTTGTTCCTTTAAGAAACATTTGTCACATGCATCCAGCGTATAAAATGTGTATCGTGCCCTACCATCAACATCTTCCAGACCCATTTTCTTGCAAGATGTTCGTATAGATGAGTCAAGGTCGCCATAATCAATGGGCTCCTCTCTAGAAAATATAGGAAATGGTTAATTAGATCTAGGGAGAACACTTTAGGACTGGTAGAACTACCGAGTATAAATAAAGTTAGTTTAGTTTAGGTTTCCTCATGTAGTAACACTGGATCAATAAGAGATGATTCTTACTCGACCTCTAGGAAGAACAGTTTAGAACTGATAGAGCTATCCAGTATAAATAAAGTTAGTTTAGTTTAGGTTTCCTCCTGTAGTAACACTGGATCAATAAGAGATGAACCTTACTGGACCTCTAGGAAGAACAGTTTAGAACTGATAGAGCTATACAGTATAAATAAAGTTAGTTTAGTTTAGGTTTCCTCCTGTAGTAACACTGGATCAATAAGAGATGATCCTTACTGGACCTTTATAGAGTGAACAGTTTAAAACTGATAGAACCTACTTTATTTTTGGAAACAGATCTGAGACAATGCCATTAAACAATTTGAGATCATCCAGTAGAAATTTGGGAACGTTCACATCTCGAATAGCGCGAAGAACAATCAGTTCCTAAACAAGTAAATACAACAGATTTAACCAGCTAACAATATGTTCGTTGACAATTCAAAACATCACTTTTCGTATAACTCACATACAGTATAGTTATCACTGTTCTGGTAATGTAAGCATAGAATGGAGCAAAGGTAATCAAGTATTAAGACAACTTAGGAACAAGATTATACCTCTTCCATATTTGGATTTTCCCTCTTGAGATTTCCTGCGGCAGATATGACTGTTTTGACAGCTCGCATTCCAAAGTCGTAATGATCCTACGTTTAACACAAAGGAATGTTAAAGATGAAGGTGTTTACGTTTCCTCCTGTAGCAACCCTGGATCAATAAGAGATGATCCTTACTGGACCTCTAGGAAGAACAGTTTAGAACTGACAGAGCTATCAGTATAAAGATATTAAAATTTAGGTTTCCTCCTATAATAACACTGGATCAATAAGAGACGATCCTTACTGGATATCCAGGGAGAACAGTTTAGAATTGATAGGGCTATCCAGTTTACATGGAGTTCGACTATCTTACAGTAAATGCCATGACTCTATGTGACAGGACATTATGCATTACCTGTGAGCTGAGTTGTTCGGAAGACAATTTAAATGTTGTAGTGATTTTCTTGGCCAGAACTTTCGCTTCAGAAAATCCGAATGAAAACAAACTGATTTCAGCGATCAGCGCGTAGTCAGGCACCATCATAGCCACTGGTCGGAATAATGCCTTGATAAAAAATAAAAAAAAATTTTACTAATAATTGATCATCAATAACTTCATTCTGTTCGCTTAGAGCTCGACAACTGTCTCTCTGTAGCTCAGTTGGTTAGAGCTCGACAATTGTCTCTCTGTAGCTCAGTTGGTTAGAGCTCGACAACTGTCTCTCTGTAGCTCAGTTGGTTAGAACTCGACAACTGTCTCTCTGTAGCTCAGTTGGTTAGAGCTCGACAACTGTCTCTCTGTAGCTCAGTTGGTTAGATTCTCAAATTTCCATGGTATTGAAAGTATAAACTACGGATACAAGTGATGCAACAACGTCTTACCTTAAGATTGTCAGGTAACTCTGTTCTTCCAGCGTAGCCAGGGTTCATTGTGATGAATACAGCACAGGAATGCCGTAACTTTAATTCAACACCTTCAAACATAAACCTGTCAACCTAATACGAAAGAAATCGTCAACGTTTGTCAACAATAATATACATTTCTCCTTTGTGACCAATGATAAGAGATGATCCTTACTGGACCTCTAGGAAGAACAGTTTAGAACTGATAGAGCTATCCAGTATAAATAAAGTTAGTTTAGTTTAGGTTTCTTCCTGTAGTAACACTGGATTAATAAGAGATGATCCTTACTGGACCTCTAGGAAGAACAGTTTAGAACTGATAGAGCTATCCAGTATAAATAAAGTTAGTTAAGTTTAGGTTTCCTCCTGTAGTAACACTGGATCAATAAGAGATGATCCTTACTGGACCTCTAAGGAGAACAGTTTAGAACTGATAGAGCTATCCAGTATAAATAAAGTTAGTTTAGTTTAGGTTTCCTCCTGTAGTAACACTGGATCAATAAGAGATAATCCTTACTAGATCTCTAGGAAGAACAGTATAGAACTGATAGAGCTATCAAGTATAAATAAAGTTAGTTTAGTTTCGGTTTCCTCCTGTAGTAACACTGGATCAATAAGACATGATCCTTACTGGACCTCTAGGAAGAACAGTTTGGAACTGATATAGCCATCCAGTATAAATAAAGTTAGTTTTATACAACAAACCTTATTTTGAAGTGCTTGCTGTATGGTAGAAATCTGTTGTGCGACCACAGACAGCACTTCAACATCAATGCGATTGAATTCATCAAAACACGCCCACGCCCCAGAGCTGAGAATAAGACACGAATTTAGCAAATGATGCCACATACACAAAAAATGTAAAGAATTTGTAATAAATTCTGCAGTTGAACAACTTTCTTTCAAAACTTATAATACCTGGCGAGTCCCTTAAAGAATTTTCCCATGGCCATGAAGTCCAGTTGATCAGAACAGTTGAACA